ATTATTAACTTAATTGAGTATTTGGATAAGAATAATCAGATTCCTGTGGCTTTTATATTTTTGGATATTGAAAAAGCTTTTGACCAATTAGATTGGCAATTTTTATTTCCATTGGTAGAGACAATGAATTTTGGGGATAAGTTTTTACATGCACTTAAAGCTATATATCAGCAACAATCTGCTCAAATTGTTGTTAATGGGGGACTGACTGAGACTTTTAATATTGAAAAAGGGACAAGACAAGGATGTCCATTATCTCCATTGTTATTTGTTTTAACATTGGAGATTTTGTTGATCCAGATTCGAGAATCAATGGTAATCAAGGGTATAAAGATAAGAAAGAATGAGTACAAATTGCGGGCTTTTGCGGATGATTTGGTTTTAATTTTGGAACAACCGACTCAAGCGGTTGATTGTCTATTAGAACTTATAACACAGTATGGGAAAGTTTCTGGTTTTAAAGTTAATAATCACAAGACTAAGATATTACCCAACAATATGTCAGTTAATAAGGAAAGTTTGGTTAAAGCTACATGTTTTCAGATGGTGAAAAAGGTTAAATATTTTGGAGTATATTTAACTGCTTCAAATGGAAAATTGTATAAGAATAATTATGAATTACTATGGGGAAAAGTACAAAAGGATTTAAATGATTGGAAAAAATTGCAATTGTCACTGTTGGGGAGAATTTCAGCTGTAAAAATGAATGTTCTACCAAAGTTTCTTTTCTTGTTTCAGATGATACCTATTTTAAAAAAAGATGTAAATTTGGAGGAATGGCAGAAGGGTATCAACAAATTCATTTGGGCTGGGAAAAAACCAAGGGTTAAGTTTAAGATTTTGCAAGATGCCCGAGAAAGAGGAGGACTTAAGGCACCTAATTTGAAATTATATTATGATGCAGCCACCTTAACTTGGATAAGTGATTGGCTCAATTTAACAAATAAGGATATTCTTTCTCGTGAAGGGTGGGACTTAATGTACGGTTGGCATGCATATTTAATTTTTAATAAGAAAGTGGACCAGATTTTCAAATCACACATTTTGAGGAATGCCTTACTTCGAGTTTGGAAAAAGTATTATTACAGGTTAAATTATAAAATACCTATCTGGGGGATTCCCAGACATGCAATTGAGGGAATTTCTAAGGGGATGAATTTTGACAAAATTTCGTATAAAGAATTATTAATTTGGTCAGGTTTGGACTGGCATTTAAAATCCCTAGATGTATTAAGGCAAGAAAATATTCTACAGTCATGGTTTCAATATCTACAAATAGTGGACAGGTGGACTATAGATAAGAAAGAGGGAATAACATTAGAAGATGAAAATTTGGTTATTCAGATTAAAGATCAGAGTCAGGCCCAAATAAAAAGAATTTATAATGCTTTAATAGAACTAGATTCAGAAACAGAATTGGTCAAAGATTGTATGATTAAATGGGCCCAGAATATCCAGGAACCGATTCCTTTGGACTTATGGGAGATAATTTGGATCAGAAATATTAAATTTACACAAGCTCAAAATTTGAGGGAAATTTTTTATAAAATGTTTTATAGATGGCATCTAGATCCTAAAAAAAATATCTTGTATGTATTCTAATTTACAACCCAAATGTTGGAGATGTGGTAATATGGATGTGACATATTTTCACATTTGGTGGAATTGTAAAAAGGTAAAGGCTTTTTGGATTATGATTTGGCGGAACATTCAAAAGATTTTTAGAAGGAAGATAAAGTTTACTCCTCAATTATTTTTATTGGGTATTTTTGTGGACTTAAATGAGAAAGAAACTATTTTAATGTTGAATTTGTTAACTGCAGCAAGGTTACTAGTAGGCTCATACTGGAAGAAAGATTCGTTGCCTACTTTAGAAGAATGGATATTTAAAGTTTCTAGTTTTGCAGAAATGGCAAAAATTTCTGCTTATCTGAAGGATCATACACAAGAAAGATATATTATTGTATGGAGAAGATGGATAGATTATATTCAGAAAAAGTTTGGGACTACAAAGTTTCATTTATTTTATGAGTAAATTTTATAGTAAATGTTGTAGAGATTTGTTTATGATGTAGGGAGTTTAAGGCTAAGTATGATATTTTTTTTTCTTTCCTTTTCTTTTTTCTTTTCTTTTTTTTATTTATTTTTTTTTATTGTTAACTTTGTTATTAATAACCCTGTACTCTGCTCTGGGAAGCGAGAGGGGGAGGGTTGAGGGTGGGTGGGTGGGTAGGTGGGTAATGATAATATAGACATGGTAAACGCTTGGGCGTTTCCTGCGTTCATGTGTTTGAGAGGGATGAGAGGGGAGGAAGGTGTAGGGAGGAAGTAGGATGGTAAGAGGAGAAGGGGAGGGGAAGAGAGTAGGAGGGGAGGAGAGAAAGAGGAGGGAAGTAGGGAAGGTATTAGAGAGGGTGGACGAAGCCTGGGGGGGAATGGGCAGGCGGTACCAATGGTTATGAGTTTATTTTCTCTTGTAAATTGTATTTTGTATGATGAATAAATGGAAAATAAAAACTTTTTATTAAAAAAAAAAGACTTGTGGACTTCAGCTCCCAGAATTCCTCAGCCAGGTGGCTGGGGAATTCTGGGAGCTGAAGTCCACAAGTCTTAAAGTTGTCAAGGGTGCAGACGCGTTTTAAATGGCAAAGCGGTTGAAAGGAGGGCTGGGCCGCTTCTTAAAGGGAGGGGAGAGAACTCAACATCAATGGGAGAAACTGAAACTTTCCTTCTCTTTCTGCCTTTTCCACCAGCATGCTTATTTACTGCGTTTCGCAGATGTTGCATTTTTCTTTTTTGCCCCAAATTGAAGGTCGGTGGCAACTCTGCCTCGAAGAAGTCTACTGGTGCCATATTTCCAACAGCATTTGCTCCTACCAGTAGTAATAAAGTATATTTTAATTTAAAAAAAAAGAATTGAAGGACATTCACCTTATGCAGTAAACCCTGTTGATGCAAAGATTCCTAACAGCTGACATGCAGTTAATAAAACATTTGTGAAAATGATCAGAAAAGGAAAGAGGCATACTCAATGTCCTTAAAATTACCTTTAATTTTAAAAATTAAATTTTTAAAATTAATTTTTAAAATTACCTTTAATACTGAGTATCCTTAAAGGTACAGACCGTGGTCTCAGTGACATAGTTATTCCATCATCTCATAGAACTCTAAACCTGCCAGAGACCACTGTCTTGTGGTCTCCACGAAAGGAGCAAGGGAAACTGTCTGGAACACTTGTCTAGACTGGAAGTCTGTCTTGAGAGGAATTATGAAGAATTGGTCTCCTTGTCGGCCCTTCATTTTACCCCTGTCAACTCTGTTGTTAGCAGAGTCATCTTCAGTTCATCATTGCTTCCACAGAAATCAACATTCTCTGCTTTTCGTGAAAAATTCAATGGAGCCAGTAGAGATGTTCCACACAACGAGGAGAGCCGCTGTGCAGAAGAAGTTTGATTCTTTTTTTCCAGATTGAACTGGGATGGAGAGAAAGGTTTATAGTAATGGCTCCCTCAAGTGACCCTTTACTCCCGGAGACTACAATAAGCAAGTCCATATACTTTTCCAAAAACACTTTAGAAGTATTTTGTTATTTATTTTATTTCTAAATTTTTGACTTTCCAAGTCAGTGGACCATCCTAATCAGGTCAGATTTTAGGTTTTAGAATAAGTCAAGTTCAGGATAGTCCCTAAAAGTTTGAGGTGATTTTATATTGGGACTAACCCCTGTCATGCTACCACTATATGTGTTTTCCTGTTTGCATGACATGCTAATTCTCTTGTAACCTAATTCAGCTTGCCCTGCAAGGACAATTAATAGAATAGAGTGAACATTTTTCAAAACAAAGTGACCAATCTATTATCCAGAGTTGTAGTCAATTCTAAAAGCTTTCCAAAATGTCAGAGTTAGAGATAAAGAGAAATTGTTGAGAAATGAACAAATATCTAACAGGAGATCTGATTCTGACATCCATTGCCTTCCATATAACTTAGAATCAAAGAATCACAGGTCTAGAAGGGAACTTGGAGGTCTTCTAATCCAACCCGTGCCCAAGGCAGGAATCCTTACACCAGTGATGGTGAACCTTTTAGAGACCGAGTGCCCCAAAACCGCCCCATCCCCTACCCTGCCTGCTCTGCCCCCACCCTACCTGCCCTGCCCCCACCCCACCCCACCCACAGGGCCACCCACCACCTCCACAGTCCTCTGATTGGCCAGGTGGCCTAGCTGCGCCATGGTGGCCACGTCCTCCGGCCATGCCCCAAAGCATCATTGCATGACAGGGCACGAGGATGGAGTCTTGTCCCCGTTGCTTGGCTGCCATGTCCTTGGCTGTGCTGCTCCACGCAGGCTGTATCTGGGGGCGACTTTCCTCCAGGGTGGCTGCTGGTGAGGGGGGGGGCATGGGGGGAGGTGGGGCTGGGGCGACAGCGTGCGTGCCCACAGAGAGGGTTCTGAGTGCCCCCTATGGCACAGGTGCCATAGGTTCACCCCCATTGCCTTACACCATCCCGAAAAAATGATTGTCCAATCTTTTCTGGAAAACTTCCAGACTTCAGCAATGTTGCAAATTCATCTCTTTACCTTTCCAACACCATTTCAATCTTTGAATACTATGTCTTCCTTAGGAATATATGTAGGGGGGGGGGAAATAGCAGGCAATGGAGGCAAACAGGGGCATCTGAAGGTAAGCTATACAAGTCAAGATGGTGGCTATAGCTGTGTGCTCAAAAGGATGCATGAAAAAAAGTTGCTCCTTCAAACTCAGTCATGACTGCCATCTTGACGTTTTTGATCCCCTGCTGCTATGAAGCCCTGGGGGGCACCATGTGTTTTCTCCTCTCTCTCCTCCATTTATTCCTTATATTCCTTTCTCCTGAAACACTGGGATGAAATTTTTGGATTTGATGCAGCCGATACAACTGCTTCCATCCCACCCAGCCCCACCAAATGTTGCCATCCCCTGTTCTTGAATGACAGAAATATTCCCAGAAACTTTGTATTATATATCTGATACAGAGAATTTATTCATATTCTATTTCTATTGAGAAAATTGAAAAATTGACAGAAATATTCCCAGAAACTTTGCATTATATATCTGATACAGAGAATTTATTCATATTCTATTTCTATTGAGAAAAGTCAGGAGAACAGGATAATGGTGATGTTGTCTATGCTAAGAGGAAATGTTGGCTAGGAAGGGAGAAGATCTGATCAGATCCAGTAAAATCAACAGGGCGTCCATCAAATTTGCAGGTATTTTGCAGTCGGTTCTGGTTGCATCTCGGTTACTTTCATCTGGATAGCTCTACAGCTGGTACTTACAGATGTAGGCATTTAGATGGGTACATATCCTATCATTCCACAATTTAAAACCTAAAATGCAAAAAAAAAATAAGACAGAACTTAATTCTAATTCCTTCAATAGTGGTCTGGAAAAGGTTGTCATCTTTATATTACGTGGAAGTTTTACACTGGTCCCAATGGAATTTCCCACAAAAAGCAAAGCAAATGTTGACTCTAGGAGAATAAATGGAGAACTGAACACAGCTATTGATATTCTGCCCTCCCCCCCTCAAGAAAATGAATTTTCATTGCAAAAGTAAACCTCATTCACTTCATTGCAGAAAGAGACCTAGGGTTCAGGAAAAAAGAGAGGACAGGAGAGGGCGAGGGGAGGAGGGAGGGGAGCAAAGGAGAAGAGGAGAGGAGGAGGGGAGGGGAGGAGGGGAAGAAAGGAGTAGAGGAGGGAGGAGAGGAGAAGAGAAGAAGAGAAGGGGAGGAGGAGGGGAGGAGGAGGGAAGGAGGGGAGGACAGGACAGGAGGGGAGGGGAGGAGAGGAGAAGGGGAGGGGAGGACAGGAGAAGGGGAGAGGGAGGGGAAGGGAAGGGGAGAGAAGAGAATAGAGGAGAGGAGAGAGGAAGAGGGGACGGGAGGAGGGGGAGAGGAGAGGGAATTGGAGGAGAGGAGAGGCAGAGAGGAGAGAAGGGGAGGGGAGAGGAGGAGATGGGAGGAGAAGAAGAGAGGAGAGGGGAGGGAAGGAGGGGGAGAGGAGAGGGGAGGAGGAAGGGAGGAGAGGAGGAGGAGAGGGGAGGAGGGAAGGAGAAAAGAGGGAAGGGGAGAGGAGAGGAGAGGGGAGTGGAGAGGAGGGGAGGAGGGGAGAAGAGGAGGAGGGGAGGAGGGGAGGAGAAGAGAGGAGAAGAGAGGAGAGGAGAGGGAAGCAAGGGGAGGGGAGGAGGGGGAGAGGAGAGGACAGGGGAGGAGAAGAGAGGACAGGGGAAGGGAAGGAGGAGAGGAGAGGAGAGGAGGAGAGGAGAGGGCAGGAGAGTAGAGAGGGAGGGGAGGGAGAGGGGAGGGGAGGAGGAGGAGAGGACAGGTGGAGAGGAGAGGAGAGGAGGAGGAGAGGAGAGGAGAGGAGAGGAGGAGAGGAAGTCATATGAACCTTTTTTCCTGATCTCACAATTACAAAAACACTTTTTTATCTAGAAGTCAGAGATGCAGGCTCTGACCTTAATTGCTCATGGTTACTAAACTATGTGAAGAAATTTCCTGAAGCAGAAATAGAATATGGAGTGTATTAACTATGGATATACAAATGAATGCATAAATTGGTGAAAGTAAGTAACAGTGGAACCTTCCGTTGTAATGGAAAACTTCCTTCTGAATTATTTTGGCTGAACCAAGTCAGCCAAAAGACCAGCATTTGTCCAAAGTACCTCACCTGATCCAAAAGATTTATGCAAAGACAGGCAAGATCCCAATAAGATTTTGCATGGTAAAAATTAGATCCATAACAAATTAATTAACTAATAATGTTCATGCCCTTTCATTATACTTCTGATCTGCTCTGTGACGTGGCTACCACGCTCTTCCTAACAAGAGATCCAGCTTTGAACATTCAGTAGAACACAGCATGCTTGTTTGAAAAACTTTAGGCCAGTTTTTTCCCACCTCACTGCTTTCCAGATATGTTGGACATCACCTCTCAGTATTCCAAAGGGGGTGGAAAATCCACTCTGACACATCTGGTGGATACCGGTTTTGGAAAGACTAAATTATATCTGGAGAACAGTTATCCAGCTTTGCTCTCATGGAAAGCTAACCATTTCTCCTAAAGGCTTTTGTTTTAAAAAAGAGGGAAATTGGGAGTGAGGATATGTTCACTTTTGAATTATGGAAAACTCCATGAAACGTATGGGGTTCATTCGTCTCACGTGTGGGATAACTCCAAGTTAAACAACAAACAACAAACCTTTATTTTCATGATGGCCCTGGTCTGAAAACCTGGTACATCAAGAACCACCAAGTGTTGGCTTACCAGTTTTACATGACAGCTCCACACAGTGCTCTTTCTTGTTATAGTTGTCTGGCTGCCCTGGCATCCAAGCTTTGTAGTTGAAGGTGGATTCATCAGCCCATCTCCATCGCCCTTTCTGTTGCCGAAAGATAGAGCACGATCACATGTTAAGAAGATAAGTAACCTCTTGGGATCATAAGCTACACCAATTAGCTAGAAAAGCTGAGTGGCGGGGAGCTTTTAGAGACTGGCTACAATGGAGAAGTTCAAACATTCTCCCAAGTTGTCAAGTGACATTTTTTGTAGTGCACATGCAACAAAATAAAAATAGCAAGGCATCATATTCTGACCAATTCATGACAGTGAAATTTTATACATGGTTGCATCTAACATTCAGCTCTATGAAATTTTAGATTGCCAGAGGTGAATTTTGGACTGCAGAGCTGCATTTTGTTGAATAGTTTGGGCTATTACAACCACTCTTCTCCACCGTTCATATTTACCTTAAAGTAGAAGTGGAAGGCCATTGCAAAGAACTGTTGTTATTATACTGTCAGGATGAAGTGGTCCCTCCTTCAAAAAGAGAGGGGAGTGAAATACCTAGCACTTGTATTTGGTCCGAATTTAGAAGCTTTCTTGATATCACTACAGTCAGTGTAGGATGTGGGCTAGCTGAGGCCCAAAGCTAAAGAAAGCTTGGAAGGATCCAGTGTGAAAGAGATGCACCAGAAATGCATCTGAAATCTAAACTGTAACTAAACAGGATCGTGGGACAGCCCAAAACACACAGGCACACAGACAGATATCTTTATGTATGTGTGTATATGTATTTGTGTTGTATACACACACACACACACACACACACACAAACACACACATCCCTAGATTTTAATAGTAAGGAATGTAAAGTGAAAAATACAAATTATTTTCAAAGGAAGGCTTATGCTGATTATATTTTTGTCATTTGGCTGGCTTGATCACTCTCATAGATTATAACAGCATACCTTGCAAATAGATACAAATCAGAAAAAAATATGAATAAGAGAAAAAGGGGGAAATAAATCTCTTCATCCCATATCTCATCATATATCTATGAGGAAATAATAAAACTTCATGATTCAATCTTAATGAGTCGTTATTTTTCCCCTTCTATGTTTAAATAACAAAAATTATTATTTAAACAATGGCTACACAAGATTTTAACACCTACAGTACATAGAAAGTGCCTCACAAATTTCTGAAAGCCAAAAAGAACAAATTCTGATAATTTGTTAAGATTGTGCACTCCTCAAATGTTGCTTATTTAGTTTGTGCTTAAATCCAGCACTGACTGCAGCTCTGAGCATCAACAAACAATTTTGTTGGTTTGATTTAATATCTAGGATTTACAGGTATAAGGAAAATGAAAATTAGCCATTAGATTATAGTTTTGAATTGTAATATGGAAGTTGGTCTGTAACAATAAAAGATAGTTTATTAGTAAATAATGAGATATTAGGATGAGGAATAGAATATATTTGTGGAATAAAGTAAGAATGTAATTAACTGAATAATATCTGTATTTTAGATTCAATAACTATTTTGTAATGAAATTAGGAAAAATTGGGTTACCCCAAGTGTAAATATTATGGATATTAAAGGTTAAATTGGAACATGGTAGTTGAAATTAGATAAGATTTAAAAACAGGACCTGGATATGTATAAGTTAAATTATATTGACAACTGTATTGATTGATTGAGCTATAATTAGAAATGTACTAACTCGAATGTGATATAATAATTAAGGGAAACAGAGAGGGAACCTTTAAGGATGTAACCTGAGATATGTATGAAAGACTCTGTTACTGGACTATTGACCACCCAATCACCACACTGCTTCCTAAATATCTGAATGTAAATTTTAAAAATTAATAAAACTTGTTTTTTTTAAAAAAAAAAATCTTGGGTTCCTAGCAATACATTATTCTCAGTAAGTAGCTCACCCATAATAACAGAAGTGGATGTGTAAAATTACTGCATAAAGAATGCAGTGGGGAAAAAATGAAATCAGACTCACCCCAGAGATATCACGGAGTCCTATCCAGACGTGATTAAGTGATTGCTGTTTGTCTTTGACATATGCAGACACCAGTGAGGACTCTTGGTGGCTGAGAACAGAGGCGAGATGACATCCTGGACCAAAGCTTTGGCACTCAAGCTAAAAAACAGAGGCAGGACAAGAAAATGGCACGTCGTGATCATGAGTGGGAGTGTTGCAGACTTTAAACCTTCCACATCTCCACTTGTGCAATTTTGGTTTCTCAAGAAACCTTTGACCACACCTGGACTGGTGAAAAAATGATTCTTACCTCAGCAGCATCCCAATTTAGTTTCTCATCAAAATATCCATAGCAGTTCCCCTGTTTCTGCAGCCAGTCTCTGGGGCATGACGCAGCCTTGACTGCAAGGAGACAAAACGAGAAAAAACATGCAGGTAAATGAAATAGTTTCCCGATATTCCTGAATGGGGCGTGATGGCTCAGTGGCTAAAGGTGCAGAGCTTGTCAGCTGGAAAGCTGACCGCCCAAGCACTTTGCAACTGGGTGAGCTCCCGTTCCTGATCCAGCTCCTGCCCACCTACAGTTTGAAAGCATGCAAATGCAAGTAGATTAATAGGTACCATTTAGGTGGCAAAGTAACAGAGTTCCAAGCGCCTTTGGAATATAACCATGCTGGCTACATGACCATGGAAAATGTCTTCGGACAACACTGCCTCCCTCAGCCAAGAAACGGAGATGAAAACCATGCCTTAAAGTCAGACAAAACTGAATAGGGGAAACCTTTACTCTTTTTTATTTCTGAAGGAGACCCCTTCAGTTGGGAGTAGACATGACTGAAAGGGTTGAGGGCTGCATCTCAGCTTTTCAACTTTTTTGAGAGTGGAAGGAGACCATCTGCTAAATTGTCCATGGACTTCACCAGTTATGAAGGTAAGGACTTTTTCTGGTTTGAGGGGATAGGGTTTTAAGATGGAGCAAAAGGTCCCAGGGACACAAAACACTTCCACCTCACCATTTCAAACTTGAAGCTGGTCCAAAATCTATTTTCCAGACCAATGTCAAGGTATTCTAAGGGGCTGGGAGAATATTAAGCTTTGTTCAAAAGTCCTCCTTGTCCTATGCCCAGCCTTAAAATGTTACAAAAATCTCAAATGGACAATCCTAAATGACTAAAGCCAGTGCTTTTTTTGGGAAAAAAAAAAAAGGTGCCGGAATTCACACATGTCATACAACCCGCCTTGCCTACCCTACAAGATTCCATCCAAAAAAGGTGCCAGAACTCCGTTCTGGGCGTTCTATGACAAAAAAAGCCCTGACTAAAACTGTGCCACATTGGAATCACTGGGGAAACTGGCAATGTCTGAGGGAAATAATTACTATTCCTACCCTTAACATGGAAAATAAATTAAAATATGGAACTTGACAAATCACTCTGCTGAAATCTCTTCATTTTACTAGTGCATCTCAGCAGTACAGTTTCAGAATACTGAGAGCAGCATAGAATCCCATCTGACTTGGATAAGACATAAAAATTCTGACCTGCATATTACATATAAAAATGCCTGAAGACAGAGCTTACTTATCTAAGTTGTTTAATTTGATATATATTCCATATCATGATTAATTTGGGGGACTCACCTCCCAAAAAAGGATTGGTGATCAAGATTCCAAGGCAACAGAGGCCGATGTACATGGAAAGTCCCATCTTCTGGTTTCCCTTTAGAAGAACAGAGAAGTAGATGTGATACAAAAATTAATAAAGTGGCATTCATATTAGCTTGCTGAAAGAGAAAGCTAATTTTTGAGTGCCATCATTTAATTTTGATCCTAGTCTAGCTGCAAACTTTCCGTTGTGCTTCCTAGCACACAACTCATGAAAAGCTCTATTGCTACTTCAAAAAGCCGGATTGCTATTTCAATGCCGGATCACTGTATGGATAATAAAGAGCATCTAACCAACACTTGCCAAGAATGCCTTCAGCCTCTCACCTTGCAAAGCTCTTCAACTGGAGAAGTTGAGTTGGTGGATGGTTGGACTGGTGGACTCTCACTTTCTGAGCAACCATTAAATAGTCTCCAGATGGGCCTGGCACAACATCAAGATGGACAAATTTTTTCAGAGATTTCCTGGTCCACCCTTTTCTTTTTCTCCTAACTTACAGGAAAGCAAGTAAACTTCAGTCATAAAGAAAATTGGCTAGTATTTCCTTAGGTAAAGAAGGAAATTATCAAAAATCAACCCACTGATTCTACATCTTAGTGAGAAGCAAACACCATGTTTTATTGGTTGTTTATCATATTTACTTGATTTCTTTATTCTATTGGTTTTAAATGTCATAGTTTCTAGCCATTTACCGTATGTCAAACGTTCTAGTTTATGTTACATCAAATATTAGCACAATTGAGGAAGATAACTTTTTGCAGAAACACCAACCCTTCCCTCAGATTTGCCCTGAGAAAAACGCACTAAACTTCTTTTTATCTTGTTTTTTTGTAAATTTTATTAAACGTTTTACAAGGAACATAAAAGCTAATGCAAGCTAATGAAAAGCAAAAGAAGCAAAGATAAAAGAAGAAAGAAAGAAGAAAAAAGACAAACAGTGCAAAAAGACAGGACAAAACAATAGAGAAAAGAAGCTTTCAATTTCTTCTGCAGAAAATATTATATTTGCAGTTTTGACTCTTAGTTTATGATTAGGGAAAAAGACCCCCCTTTTTTTCTGCAGTCTAGTGTTTTCTAATCATGAAAACCACAAATAGCAAGTGTATTTTTTTTCCACTTTCCTGCCAAAAAATCTGTAAGGGGTTTCCAGTCCATAAATATAGATATTTTTTTCTCTAATCAAAGAAGTTAGTTTAGCCATCTCTGCAAGTACCATCATCTTACCAAACGTTGCTCCATTATGAGTAGTTCCAAACCGATTCCACATTTCAGCATATAATAATTTCACTCTAGCTTGCTTCCATTTTTGTCAGGTACTTCAGTTTGTATAATACTCATATCAATTAACCCATCAAAAATAGTGCCATAAAAAACAGATTAGAAACACAAGTTAAGATAGGCAAGAAAACGGTAAGTGAACACCTGTCCAATCTAGACGAATTCAAATTGCCAGGACCAGATGGATTACACCCCAAGGTTCTCAAGCAACTGGCAGATGTGATTTCAGAACCACTGAACTATATTTTTCAAAGATCCTGGAACACTGGTGAACTATCAGACCACTGGAAAAGAGCTGATATAGTTCCCATCTTCAAAAAAGGGGAAAAAATGGACCCAGGAAATTACAGACCTATCAGCCTGACCTCAATACCTGGGAAGATCCTGGAAAAGATACTCAAACAACGAATCAGCAAACACCTAGAAGCAAACAAAGACATTACTAAAAGCCAACATGGGTTTGTCAAAAATAGATCATGCCAGACAACTCTTATTGTATTCTTTGACCAAATGGCAAAATTAGTGGACCAGAGGAATGCTCCGGACATAATTTATTTGGGCTTCAGTAAGACATTTGATAAAGTAGATCACAACCTACTACTTGACAAGATGGAAAAATGTGGGGTAGACAGTATCACCACCAGATGGATCCATAGCTGGTTGACTGTCCGCATTCGGTGTGTGGTCCTCAATGGAACCGCACCTACATGGAGGGAAGTGTGTAGTGGGGTGTCCCAGGGCTATGTTGTGGGCCCAGTGCTCTTCAACATCTTCATCAATGATTTGGACGAGGGGATAGATGGGGAACTCATCAAATTTGCAGACGACACCACGCTGGCAGGAATAGCCAACACTCCAGAAGACAGGCTTAGGATACAGAAGGATCTGGACAGACTTGAACACTGGGCTCTATCTAACAAAATGAAATTCAATGGTGAAAAAAGCAAGGTTCTACATTTAGGCAAGAAAAACCAAATGCACAGGTATAGCATAGGGGGTACCTTGCTCAATAGTAGTAACTGTGAGAGGGACCTCGGAGTCCTAGTAGACAATCACCTAAATATGAGCCAGCAGTGTGCTGCAGCTTCCAAAAAGGCCAACATAATGCTGGGCTGCATTAACAGAGGGATAGAATCAAGATCACGTGAAGTGTTAATACCACTTTACAATTCCTTGGTAAGGCCACACTTGGAATACTGCATCCAATTTTGGTCACCATGATCTAAAAAAGATATTGAGACTCTAGAAAGAGTACAGAGAAGAGCAACAAAGATGATTAGGGGACTGGAGTCTAAAGCATATAAGGAACAGCTGCTGGAATTGGGTATAACTAGTTTAATGAAGAGAAGGACGAGGGGGGACATGATAGCAGTGTTCCAATATCTCAGGGGCTGCCCCAAAGAAGAGGGAGTCAAGCTATTTTCCAAGGCGCCTGAAGGCAGGACAAGAAGCAATGGATGGAAACTAATCAAGAAGAGAAGCAACCTAGAACTAAGGAGAAACTTCCTGACAATTAACCAGTGGAACAACCTGCTCCAGAGCGGTGAATGCTCCAACACTGGAAGTTTTTAAGAAGAGACTGGACAACCATTTGTCTGAAATGGTATAGGGTTTCCTGCCTGAGCAGGGGATTGGACTAGATGACCTCCAAGGTCCCTTCCTTTAAGCTTTATTATTATTATTATTATTATTATTATTATTATTATTATTATTATTATTAATCTAACTGCTTACTACATCAATTAAATGACACAGTTTTAACTGTCTGGATCAGTCCTTCTCTTAGTAAAGGTTATTTGGCTTCCTAATGCAATAAACAACATTGATGGTGACTGTACAATGTATATTTGGTAAGTGTGTTCATCTAATCACTTCTTGAAATTCTACAATGAACTGTTGTCTCTTTTTGTAACTTTCTTGTGTGTGTAACATCTACTCAGTACTGTTTTTTTCTTCAGTCCTTGATTAAAAGTTTGTATCTAAATAGTGTATATATCTAGAATAAATAAGGAGGGAGCGGGTCATAGTGGTTTGAATGCTGGACTACAAATGAATCCATCCACAACCATGGAAATGCATTGAGAGACTCTGGGCCAGTCACTCTCTCTCAACCCAACCTATTTTTTAATGTTGTGTGCAACATCATCCTTTGGCATGACAATATATCATTGTCTGGGATCCTGCAGATAGCTCTGCTTGTCAAAGATACTTCTAAATAGTTGTGAACTTTGACTGAAACAGTTAATGATCATTGCCACAGTGATGCAAGCAATGAGCATTAACTGTTCCAATCAAAGTTCACAACCAAGACACCATATGTTCCCTTTTGGGTGTTTCTCTAAGACACCATATATTCCCGGGTGGGTTAGGATATTGGTTGTTTCCTTTGCTGCCCTTTTATGACCTTGTATTCATAGTTCTGTGTGTGGCCAGAGACAGCAGGGCCATCTCCACGTATTCACTATTGATACTGTCCTCTAAGTCCGGGTCAACAGGGGTTTTCTAACCTTTTCAATAAGATTGCCTCAGAAATGGACTACTGCAATGCACTCAACATCAGGCTGCCTTGAACACTATCTAGAAGCTTTGGCTGGTTCAGAATCAGACAGAAACCATCACATGCCCATGTGTCACTGCTCCATATACCATAATGATTGCCAGCAGGCTTCCAAGCTAGCGTTCAACCATTTAAGGTTCTAGTTATCACTTTTACAGCTCTTCATGGCTGACAGCCTGGCTATTTGAGAGACTCCCTATCTCTGATAGCTTCTTCCCATCCAGTGAGATCAGGTAGAGTGGGGATATTCAGAATCCCTTCAATTACATAATTCCATCTGTTGAAAGAAAAATCTTCATCAGGGTCCAGTCCAAGCCAGAAATAAACAAAATGGAGACTGATTTAGAAAGAAGGTTGTCGTTTATTGAAGAGCAGAGCCAGACAGAAATGTGACTCTGGGAAAGCTGACCACATGTAGCTGGGAGTGGTGGGTTTTTATACCTTCTTGGGCTTTTGTGTTTGGAGTTCCTGTTCCTGTGGCATGAACTTTGACCTGAGCTTTTGAGTAGGCCCTTTTTGGTATTCTGATGGTGGGGGTTAATCCTATTATGTCCTAAAAGTCATATCCTGCTTCCCTGGGGCTGTGGCTGATGACTATGTCCTATGACTATTTTTGGGGTGAGAGGTTGTTGGTTCTAGGGATCTTTGTCTTTCTAATTGCATCAGCTCTATGTTTCCTGGTGCCAGTCTTTCTGAAAGGATTATCAGATCTGCATTTCTACAGACCTGGTTTCGGCTTGGGGCAGAGAGACTTGAGAGAGGGGGGTCTGCCTTTAAGATCCTTTAGAGAAATATAATATTCTGCCTTTTTAATATCCCCCCAAAATATTTCCTTCTCTAGGAAGGTGGGTGGGTGCTGATTTCCAACACATCTCTTGGGTCTTCTCTGTGAGGGCACCTGCTCTCTGGAGCATCATCTCTCCAAAGTTCCATAAGGTTCCCATGATGATGTATTTCAAAGTTTCAGAAGGCCTGACTGTTTTCCCAGGTCCAGTACTGAGTCTATGTCAGCTGTTTTTGCAAGTTTTCCTATTCTTTGTTATCACTGCTATTCAAGGCCTTAAAAATTGGTTATCAGTTGATATATCTCAGTTTTAATTACACTTCCATTCTTTTTCTTTTCTTTTCTTTTTTTAATTGAAACGTTTTATTAAAATTACAGTATACACCCCAAAACTAACGATTTTAATTGCCAATCATTCCCTACCAATCTAAGTAGTTCGTTATAAGAAATCCTATCCAAATTCACACCCATAGATAACCCCTCTATCACGTGTCCAGGAATCCCCCAGATTGGTATTTTATAATTTAACTTACAATAATACTTCTTCCAGACACGCAATAAAGCACTTCTTAAAATATGAGATTTAAAAGCTTGGTCAACTTTTTTGTTATAAATTAAGTATGTATGCTACCCATATAATAAATCCCATCCCTCAAGATGAAATATACTTTTATTTGTTAAATTAAGCCAATCACTTACCAATGTTAAAACCACCGCATCATAGTATAATTTCAAATTAGGCGCCTTAAGTTCTCCTCTTTCCCATGCATCTTGTAAGGTCTTAAATTTAATTCTTGGTTTTTTCCCCACCCAAATGAATTTATTAATGCCCTT